CTTTGAACCTTCAGAAACAAATATGAAGTTTGGGTTTGTTCTGTGGGGTGAAAAGAAGGATGACGTAGAGGAAGGCGTGAAGTACTTTTGCGCTGTAACGTCCGTATTTCTAGACTAGGCATTAATGATGATGTAATAGTCTAAGCCAACCTTTGTAACTTGTTTTGAAATAATAAGATGTATTATTTTAGTATTATGTGTTTTATACTTAATTATTATGATTTAATAAGTTAAGGATAAAAATGAGCGTCGAAAATAAATGTTAGATAAACCCGATATCTATAAAGAAAGTTGTAGTGGTTGAAACAAGGATTCCGAAGATACAAAAGAATACCGAAATCCGAGTTATAACGAAGAAGTTATGACATGTCGAAGTTTCGCGACAGAACTGGCACGACGCTGTATAACGTAAAAAGTGAATTTACGATAAAGTGTTTTTTAGCCTTAGTGATCTAAAGGAAAGTCGTGATATACGTTAAACTGAGAGCGTGCATATAAATAATGTCCAAATCTAACTTAGTATGAGGAAGTTATGAATATTCTAAGATTTGGCATAGTAGTATGCAGCCCGGAATTCGAAATATAGATCGAGCGATTTTTAGCCGACACAACCTAAATGAGAATCGAAGATCTTGTTGATAGTAGTTCAACGGTAGAAAGACAGATGAAAACGGACATCAGATGAAGAAGTTATGAATTTTTAACGGACTTTTCCTGTCCCGGCCTGTTAAAAATATAACTTTAAAAATAAAGTCAAAATTAGCCGGCGGAGTCTAAACGAAAGTTGTAGAGCACGATCTCACCTACGCGTGGATATAAAAAACGTCAAAAACGAAGCTCGTATGCGAAAGTTACGAATTTCTGAAGTTTGAAAAATCGGAGTACGCCCAGCATACTCATGTACACGGTCCGAGATTGGCCACGTCGCCTACTCCTTCGCATGGCGCACACGTGTTCGTAGCCTTGACGCGTCCGAGATGATCCCTTCCTATGCCTAGCGTACTTGATGTACGCCCAGCGTAGTGGCTGGTGAAGTAGTACGCCCTGCGTACTCTAAAATTACGCCCAACGTAATGCGAGACATCAGCCTCTTATAAATAGCATGCGAGACCTCTGGGTTTTTGTTTTACAATTTTCATTTTAAACACTCTTTTAGCCTATCCTAACTCCTCCCCCCCCCCCCCCAAAGCCTAGGGTACTTCCTTAACACCCGAAGCACCCGAAGATCCCGAGAAAAGAGTTTTTCGAGTCGAGACTCTGCCCGCGTGAAGCCCGGTTTTTGAGAAAACATCCCGGTTTCATCAAAAAAGATTGTTTTAAGGGACGAAGTGCTGTCCAATCGCCGTCTTATCAGGTGAGTATATAGTCACTTTCATCTTACACATAGATATGAAGTATTTTATATAAAATATATGCTATATGTATATATATTGTTTGTTTATTTGAGATGGATGTTGAATCAATATTTTATACATGTTTAGAATTATTTAAACTGTATATGTACTTTTATCTACAAATATGTTGGGTATAACATGGGTAGATGAAGTAGCGGATGTGTGATGAAATAAAATGATGAGGGACCTCGAAGTTGTTGATGTTCCAGTCATCTAGCAGAATATAGATGACGACTATAAACTTTTCTAGACAGTTCAGTGGAACGCTAGCAGGATTGTAACCTGTAGGTGTTTTTGAACTAGGTGTTCATTAAGTATTTTTGAACGAAGTGTTCACCAGGTATTTTGATTTACGTGTTCACCAGTTGTAATCTAAATATCCTGGCAGCTGCGCCTAATGGATAATATTGGCAGCTGTGCCTAATAGATACAACATAATCCTGGCAGCTGCGCCTAAAGGATAATATTGGCAGCTGAGTCTAATAGAGAACGTCATAATCCTGCCAGCTGCGCCTAATAGATAATATTGACAGCTGTGCCTAATAGATGATAATATTGACAGCCGCGCCGAAAATATAACATTGGCAGCTGCGCCTAATAAATGATATTGGCAGCTGCGCCTGGTTGAGAACAACACAATCCTAGCAGTTGCGCCTAAAGGATAACATTGGTAGCTGTACCTAATATATATCATTGGCAGCTGTGCCATAGGCAACGATGGAATTCGTGCCTATTCCTTAGGACAATCCTTTGGAATGAATGAGTGAATGATAGAGGATTCTTAGGGTGGAACCTTAAGAAACTGCAGAAGTATTCCTTAAGCAGTGTTGTTACCCCGATGATGATCCTTAGGCTAGGTCCCTTATGATAGGTGTTTAGGGACGTAAAGTGAGGATAACGGGAACGAGTAACTGGGGTTATTGTTGGTTGATGAAATTAATAAATTTATTGTTGGTTGATAAAAATTAATAAATTTATTTATTATGGGTTGAATACCCTATATGCTCACCAGGCTCCCAAGCCTGACCCACTCAGTTTTCTATATTACAGGTAGTGGAACAAGAGCATAATTGGACGATGACGAAAGATTTTGGATTATAGACCAGTAGATGTAAATAAATGTTGTAAGGCTTATATCGTACTGTTTATGCTTTGGTCTGTATCGATGTGGACATCCCGAGTTTTGTAATGAAATGAAAAATACATTTCTTTAAGAAATGTTTTGATACATTTTTTTATCATATTTTGTTTTGGGGACAAATTCCGCAACACCTTTTGAAAGATTACTCTGTTTTTATTTTAAAAAGTATAAACGAAATCAGTCTTTTCTGACCGAGAAAATGAGGATGTCACATGAGCCTACCTAAAAACTGGTGACCCACTACCCACTTCACGTAACACACATCACAATCGACGTTCAACAACTTCGTTTTTACGGATGACTGAAAGGGAAAAAGCTGCAACGGGGGACGGTGGCTCCTACCGAGTTGAGTGGTCTGTTAAAGAAAAGATGGTGCAAAGGAAGGGGAACAAGATGGGTTAGGGAAGAAGAAGATTGGGATGGGGATTTTTTTTGACTTTTTTCTTTACTGACGAGAGAGAGAGAGACAGAGAGAGAGAGAGAGAGGAGAGAGAGCGAGAGAGACGAGCGAGGAGAGAGAGAGAGAGAGAGAGAGAGAGAGAGAGAGAGAGAGAGCGAGAGAGAGCGAGAGAGAGAGCGAGAGAGAGAGAGAGAGCGAGAGAGAGAGAGAGAGAGAGAGAGAGAGAGAGAGAGGCGGAGAGAGAGCGGCGAGAGAGAGCGAGAGAGAGAGAGAGGAGAGAGAGAGGAGAGAGAGATAGAAGAGGAGAGAGAGAGTATGAGGAGGTTATTTATTTATTTATTTTAATATTTTAGTTAAGAGAGAGAGGTTATTTATTATTTATTATAAAAGAAATGAAAAATATATATGCGGGTAAGAGATCAAACTCTATAGAAATAAAACCACAAATATTTTCCATAAAGTTTTTTAAAGTCATTTAAAGTCGGAGACTAAAGCCTAGATTATAGAAAACCACCCATAAAGTTTTTTTTAATGTCAGGGACTAAAGCTTAGATCATAGAAAACCACATGACCGAAATTTTGTGTATAAAATATATAAAAAAAAAAGCAAGAGCAAATCAAGTCTTTTAACATTGATTAAAAGCAAAAAGCCAAACAAAACCAAATCAAAAGACCACCCAATTTAAAAAAGGAAAGTTAAACATACTAACCCAAACGATAAGAATTATTGGAGTAATTTACTCAATTGTTTACATCTAAATATGTAATTGAGCTTCATATATAAATATAATAACGTCAAAAAGCATTTGTCGTAGGATATTAGTTGTTGGTGTATTGGTATCATTAGGGGTGTTCATAACCGGATATCCGAATTTCGGATATCCGAAATTTCGGATAGTTGATTTTTGGTATCCGATTTCGTATCCGAAATTTCGGATACGGATTCGGATACCAAAACGAATATCCGAAAATTTAAAATTTTGTTCAAATTTGAAAGGTTTTATATTAGAAAGACGTATTTTTAAATTAGAAAGACATATTAAGTAATATATGTATTTACTTAAGGGTATCATGAATATGTTTTAGTTACTAACATTCAAATTATAAGACATATGTGATAAAAATAACAAATAATGTATAAACTAAAATCAAAATTTTCGGATATCCGAAAAATCTGAAAAACACTATCCAATTCCGATTCCGAAAAATCGGATATCCGAAATTTCGGATATCCGAAAATTCGGATATCCGATTTTTCGGACAACTCGGATTCGGAATTTCGGATACGGATATTTTGAACACCCCTAGGTATCATCAATCAAAATCAAAGATTATCAAAGTAAAAATATCAATAGTTGAAAGTAAAATAATAAAATTAGTCGGTTTAAAAAAAGATATATAGATAATATATCCGAAAATTCGGATATCCGGTTTTTCGGATAATTCGGATTCGGAATTTCAGATCGGAATTTCGGATACGGATATTTTTGAACACCCCTAGGTATCATCAATCAAAATCGAAGATTATCAAAGTAAAAAATATCAATAGTTGAAAGTAAAATAATAAAATTAGTCGGTTTAAAAAAAGATATATAGATAATAACATGTTTAAATATTTCTCAATATCACACTACTTATCTAAAATATTATATTCTATTTAGTACATAATTCAATAAGATCTTTTAATTAATGATTAATTTTTCTAAGATATTTTTAATAAGAGTAAAATTAAATCATTTGTAAATAAAAAATAATAGTACGGAAAGCATATTTATTTGAATAACTCAAAAATTAATATCTTTTAAGATTAGGAAAATGTTTTAATTATCTTGAACCCGATTAAAGATGATGACAAGTTGACAACAAAAATCCAAGGATAGTTCGAAACTTTGAATCAAGAAAAACAAGTGACAAAGGGAAACAATGGCCTTATTGGTGAGAGAAGCGGGCGGACACGTAAAACCACGTCAGATACAGCTTCATCTCACATGGCGTCTCCATCTTCTTCAGTTCTTCCTTCTCACATGCATTCCTCATAAATTGTCGTTTTATATCGCCACCCTAATCATTGCCTCTTCCCTATAAATATCTCCTGCTTCTGTTGCGCCCAATTGGGGCCAATTCATACACAAATACAAATATCTCCCCTCTTCGTCTCCTGCTCTGTTAAGCAATGGCGATTACGGAGCACAGAGACATTGAGAAAGGGGATAACAAAGGGCTAGAAGATTTGGTGGAACCTTTTCTCGACAATAGTTCGAAAAATGTGAAGGGTTCTGAAGAAGAAGAAATCGATCAGAATCATTCAATCGGTATGGTGCTTCTAAGCACTGCTGTTGCCGTTTGTGGGTCTCTCGAATTCGGATCGTGTGTAAGTTGAAAGTAATCTACTCGATTAGGTGTTTGGAAATAAGGGTTTTGTTTGGCTGATTTTTTGAAATTGTTTTGAAGGTGGGATATTCTGCTCCTACTCAATCTGCTATCAGCATGGATTTGAATTTATCGGTTGCTGAGGTTGATTATTTGTTCTTCGTCGATTCTTCCTGTTTTTTTGGGATTTATAATTAAAGAGATTGTTGAATAATGTGTTCGCTTTTTGTAGTATTCCCTTTTTGGCTCCATTGTAACCATCGGTGCCATGATTGGAGCAATCACAAGTGGCAGAATTGCAGACACAATCGGTAGAAAAGGGGTATGAGATTTCACAAATTTGTGTTTATACTTTTTAGCCTATTGCTATTTTTTTTTTCTTTTTTCTTTTTTGCTTTATGCTACATGACAAAAAGAAGATCAAAGAACATATAAAGCGATACAATATTTATAAAAGACTATTTGGAACCTCTGTTTGACCAAATTTCACACTGTAATTTCTCCTAATTTGAAGAAACTTTAGGTTATAAAACTTCTGGTCAATTCCAAATTAAAAAATCACGAATCTTGTTATATTATACTCTTTAAAGATTTTCAGCGGATCTTGTTTCTTCAATTTCAATAATGATTTTTCTCCATACAATATAATAAATTAGTCTTGTCTTATGCCTATGATCGGTTTTTCAGATGGTCAATTCCGATATAAAAAATCATGAACCTTTTTATATTACACAAATGTGATTTTATAGTTGATCATGTACACATGAGTGTCATAAACATGTGCATATGTGCATGAAGTACGGCCTGAAACACGTGTTTATTTTATATTTTTATTGATGAAAACAGGCAATGGCATTATCCGCGGTTTTCTGCATAGCAGGATGGCTTGCAATCTTTGTCTCCATGGTAAATTACAAACAAAACCCTATTTTTCCACCTCAAAAGTCAAAACAACCATTCGACATATTTTTTTAATGTTATTTTATACTATTACTTGTGTTTGATGTAGGGGGCTCTTTTGCTTGATATGGGCCGATTCTTCACGGGATATGGCATAGGAGTTTTCTCATTTGTGGTAAATTACCAAAAAAATTATTCAAATTTGATACACTATTATTTATTAACATCACAATTTGTACAAATGTTTTAAACTTGTCTTTGATTCATAGGTTCCAATATATATCGCGGAGATAGCACCAAAAGATCTTCGTGGAGGGCTCACCACCCTCAATCAGGTATACTTGAAATGAATAAATTTCTCCACTTTTTTGCAAAATTTCCATGAACATGGAGTTGTATAACTTGAATTTTTTTTTTTTTTTTTTGTTAATTAATTCATGCAGCTCATGATTGTTACTGGTTCATCAATATCATTCTTGTTGGGAACAGTAGTTTCATGGAGAACTTTAGCTTTAACTGGTATGTACAACAAGTATTGAAAAACTAACATTTTTTTTTGTGAAAATTAATATAAAATCTTTTTGTGTTTGATTTCCAGGACTCGTTCCCTGTATGCTTTTGCTTGTTGGTCTACTATTTATCCCAGAGTCCCCTAGATGGCTGGTATGCTTGAACTACTTTAAAATTATGAGTTTTTGTACAATTAGAGCTAATAATAATAATAATCAATAATATATATAAATGTTAGGCAAAGGTGGGACGTCAAGTGGAATCCGAATATTCTTTACGCAAACTTCGTGGTGCAAAAGCAAATGTTTCTGCTGAAGCCGATGAGATACATGTATAGTAATAATTTTTCTGCTATATTCTCACAAGGGTGTGTTTGAAGTGCAATTTCAGACAAAATTTTGTGCAAAGAATTACACCGAAAAGTGAAAAGTTGCTAACTTTTTGCTTGTTTCTTTTTATAGGAAAGTATACTCACTCTTCAAAGCCTTCCTAAAGTCAGACTACTGGATTTATTCGATGCCAAATACATTAAAGCCGTTATTGTAAGCATGAAACATTTTCTTTTCTTGATGAATTGGAATTTAGGATATTATAATAAAGGGTATATAACTATATGTAACTTGCTTTTCATTTGTGGTTTAGATTGGTGTCGGATTGATGGTATGTCAGCAATCTGGAGGAATCAATGGAATCGGATTCTATGCAAGCGAAACCTTTGAAACTGCTGGTATTTTTAAATTTTTATACACAAAGATTCTCGATTATTTATAGGTTCAGTTAATAATTAGGTTTGAAATTGTTATGAACAACAACAGGGCTTTCATCGGGAAAAGCTGGAACCATCGCATATGCCTTAATACAGATTCCTGTAACAATGCTTGGTGTGGTCTTAATGGACAAATCTGGAAGAAGGGCTCTTCTTCTGGTAACCTTTTTTGACTTAATCGAGACATTTCTTTTTGACATAATATAATTAACAGTTTTTCTTCTCCTCATATTCTTCAGGTATCTTCATCCGGGACATTTCTAGGGTGTTTCCTTGCTGGAACTTCGTTTTTTCTCAAGGTCCTTATTAGTTTATAACCCAAATAATCAAATATGAATATTTTTCCTTCATATTTTGTAAACCATCAACGACTAATTTTAGTATCCCAAAACAGGGCCAAGCCATTTTCCTCGAATGGGTCCCACTTCTTGCAGTTTCGGGTGTTCTTTTATTCATAGCATCATTTTCAATCGGAATGGGAGCAGTACCTTGGTTGATCATGTCCGAGGTAACCATCAAAAACCTAGATATTCCCGCTGGAAGAATAACCCTTTTGTAGTAAACAGCAGTATGATTAATGGGTTGTTGTTGTTTTTTGTTGACATAGATATTCCCGCTGCATATAAAAGGGGCGGCAGGGAGTGTGGTGGTGCTGGTGAATTGGTTGGGTGCGTGGGTGGTTTCGTATAGTTTTAACTTTCTCATCAACTGGAGTCCTGCGGGTATGTATTCAGAATTCATTATTCACCATCCAGCTGGCAGCTGTATTAATTAATTAGTCAAGTTTTTCGTTTTTCTGTATTAATCTAATGAAGAATTTGGTCACGTTTTATTGTAGGTACATTTTGGTTGTTCTCGGGGTTTTGTATTCTTACGGTTGTATTTGTAGCAAAATTAGTTCCTGAAACGAAAGGGAAAAGCTTAGAAGAAATTCAAGCGTCGATCAACTCCAACTCCAACTCCAAATGATAGTGTTGTTAGTTATTTGTCGTATCAGAAAAGGTTCTTGTACTTGTAGTCATAGCTCATAGGTAGATATTTTAAAATGTATTATTAGTTGTTTTCAGTTTTGTGTAGTTGAGCCAGTAATCTATTTCATTAATCGTTATTCAATTTTATATATAAAATTTTAGTCAGTTACGTATATTTGAATTGTTCTGTTTTTTTTTTCTTTGATTTTCTAAAAACTATTTCACCACTCTATAACATATCAACTCTTTCTAATCTTTAATCTCACACCACCTTTTATATTTTCTCCCATTCATTTATTTTTATAACAATATGGATTCCAAAATCGGGTCGAGGGAAATCTCATGCTACTAGTTCAATCACACCAATTAAAATTATTTTTTTTAATCATGTTCCGTGAACCCAACCCCATCAAGCCCCACAAAAAGTTTAACCCCCACCGAGCCACAAATCCAAACCCCCGACGAGCCGGATAACAACTTCTTATCGAAAACTCAACCTCCGCCACCCGAAGAAATCTTCGAGAATCAACCCCCTGTCGGCGACAAAAAAAAGGAAAGGCATCCCCTAAACCGCAGACACCAAAGGAATACTTTATGTTGGCAAAATCATGGGTCGATATATCCGAGGATACAGAGATCGAAAATTCATAATCGGCATATCATTTTTTTACTATGTGTTACCGAACGATTTGACGATGAAACAGGTCTTGGTGAGTACCGTACAAAACACCAATTGAGAACAAAATTTCAGGAGATGGACAAGAATATCACGCATGTGAACAAGAATATCACACAGGTGAACACAGGTTGTACAACAACCTAAAAAGTAAAATGAAAAATGGACAAAGTGATGAAGAAATTCTCAGCGAGGTGTATGATTTATTTTGTGAAGACCAAAGGGAAGACCATTCAAATATGGTGAGGCTTGGAAAGTATAAGCCATGAGTTCTTCAAATGCATCAGGATTCAGTCAAGCATAGGAAATGCAGAAAATGACAACTAGCTTCGAACAATACAATTTGAATTTTAGCGAATGTTTAGCATTTGAGAAAAGCAAATCGGCCAAAACAGGAAAAATCATGTGAAGAAAAGCAAAAGACACGTGATAAACAACACATCAAAGATATGAAGTTTTTGAGGCCAAACAGTGACCATTTTTTAGGAGACGAACTCCAAATGGTTTTAATGTTGAAGGCCGACATTAGGAAAAATATATCGTCTAGGCTTGTTTTCATATTATATTTTATCAGTTTTGTTTTTATTTTGATTTGTGTTATATTTTAGTTCCTTGTTTTTATTTTAATTATGTGCTTTTTTTCAAGTAATGAAACATTTCCAATTTTTTATTTTGTGTTTATTAAGATTTTATTATTAATTTTATTTTTTATTAAATTATAGTATCTTAATTTTATTTAAAATAAAAAGAAAATAAAGTTAGAGGAAGTAGGAGATGACTATTTTCTAGGTTTAAAGAGTGAGAGAATATTGGGGGAAAATATGAAGGCACCTAGGTAACAAAGTAAAAATGAGAGGTGAAAGATCTAGGGATGAATACACCCTCTAGTAAGGGTAAGCAAAAACCGCACTGTATCTAAAATTAACCGTAAAAACTGCAACCGCAATAAAAACCGATGGTGAGGTTCTCTGTTTTTCAAAAACCGCAAATTTGCGGTGCGGTGCGGTTATTAGTTTTCAAAAACCGCAAAAAAACCGCACCGCACCGCATATATTATACACAATTTTTTATTATCAAGTATTAGTTTATTAAATATTAAAAATAATACAAGTTTAATGAATGAAAAACGGATAAAATACTAGAAGACAAAAGTGTTAGTTTTTTCTTATGTTTAACTTTGAAAAATGATGTAATTAGACAATTTTAAGATATTTATTGTTAATTACTATTGATTTGACGTTTTTAAGATATTAGTTGTTTGTGGTTTAAGTTAAATAGTTAATTGTCTTATACCTTATTTTTTTTAATTATTACAAGTAATATGTTTGAACTTTTAAAACTATTTGAGCTCTAAACTGTGGTTAAAAACCACACAAAATAACTGCATCAAATCCATGCAGTTAATAACCGCAACACAGAAAAAACAAAACCGCACCGCAAAAATAATCGCTTAACCGCACCGCAAAAATAACCGCACCATGCGGTTTTGAAAATGGATTAACCGCATTTGCGGTTAATGGTGAAGTTTTGGCTAATAACCGCAGCGAACCGCACCGCGCTCACCCCTACCCTCTTGTCTTAGTATTAGATTTAAACAACTTTTTAGCTTAAAACCGAAAAAAGTTGTTATAACTAATAAAGTATTCAAGATCTTGAACCTGCTAAGGCCGATGCTGTCCCTTGGACTCCACTAGGGCTGTTGCCCCTAGGACCCACCTGTCATTTTGGTCGAACCAATATCAAATTCGTTTTATACAAGTGTGCACTCTGCACTTCCTAAAAAATCTAGTAACACTAAAATCACCAACAATTTGATTAACCATGAGCGATGGAGACTACTTGTTGAAGTGTGAAATTTAAGTAGGAGTTCTAGTGGTTCAAATCATGACATGTCCAAAAAAAAAACATGAATCATAAACAGGGCTTGGGGCAGATTTCCGCATATGCAGCTCAAAGAATATGGTTTATCAATTTTCTTCAACTCAAATGATCAAAATCATGATCACTCTTATGCATAGACCAAAAACAAGCACATTTATGGATGAAATTTATAATTTACTTAAAATATGTTTAAATTTGGAACGTGTTTGGTCAGAGATATTATGGACATGGAAAGACCGAGTACTTAAAAAAAATGTTTTATGTGTAGACGGTTCAAAAACGAACAAAATTTCATGAATTTCAGCGTAAATTCATCCCACCCATTATTTGTTTTGTTTTGTGCCATTGATGGATGCATGAGGCAATGTTGTGGTGTTTCTGAAGTTTTCATCATTCTCATTATAAAATCGTCATTCTCCTATCGCCACCATAATCATTACCTCTTTTCTTCCCCATATATAATAATCTAGGCCTGTTTTCATTGTCCCCATTTGGGCGAAATCCACACAAACTAATTATATGGCGACGCATAGAGACGTTGAGAGAGGGGATAAAAAAGGGCTTGAAAAATTGGCGGAGCCTTTTATAGACGATAGTTCAAAAGGCGTCCATCGTTCTAAACAAACCGATCAAAATGCTGCAGGCTCAATCGCGATGGTTCTTCTAAGCACGGCTGTTGCGGTGTGTGGCTCTCTCGAATTCGGAACGTGTGTAAGTTGATCAAAACAATTTGTTTGAATTTGATTTTGAATTGAATCTGCGAAGAAGAACGAGGGTTTTGTTTTGGTGGATTTTGAAATCGTTGTGCTTGTGCAGGTGGGATACACTGCTCCTACTCAAGCCGCTCTCAGCATTGATTTAAATTTATCGGTTGCTCAGGTAAATCGTTATTGTTCTTCATCGATTGATCTCAATTACTGATCGTTTTCTGATTGTGAATTGTGATAGATTCTATAATTAATCGTTGAATATCGTATCATGAATTCATGCAGTATGCCCTTTTCGGGTCGATAGTAACCATCAGTGCAATGATTGGAGCAGTCACCAGCGGTAGAATTGCAGACACAATTGGTCGAAAAGGGGTATGAATTATGACATTTTTGTATAAAGAGTGCTTCACTGATTTGTCTCTAGCTTCTGTGTTTCGATTTTCAATTTGTTTTGTTTTCTTCAAGTTTCAAGAATGATCTTGCCCCATGCATGCATATTGACGCGAACGGCCTTTTAATATAGTATTATCATGTGCATGTACACATGCACATGACTGTCATATACATGTGATGGTATTGTACAACTATATTTGCATGAAGTACAACCTGCGACATATATTCAGATTCATGTTGCCTGACACTTGTGTTTAATTAATTATCTACTGACCGATGATGATGATGATGAAAACACACCACATGCAGGCAATGGCATTGTCCTCCGTGTTTTGCGTAGCAGGATGGCTTGCAATCTATTTTGCCATGGTAATTAAATCACAATTATCATAATAATAACTAAGTTTATTAATTAATTTGCAAATTGCAACATCATATCAAACCAACCATGCATTTTTAATGTTATTTTATTTTCTTACTTCAGGGAGCTATTTCGCTTGATACAGGAAGGTTCTTCACTGGATATGGAATAGGAATTTTCTCTTATGTGGTAATTAAATTGCCAAAATTACATTCAAACTTGAAATAAGCGCTATATATTAACTCCACAAACTAATTTGCACAATTCACAAACATATCAAAATTAAACTGTTGATTAACACACATATGTATAGGTCCCAATATATATCGCTGAGATATCGCCAAAAGAGCTTCGTGGAGGGCTAACAACCATCAATCAGGTTAATTAAAACCCTTAAATTTCCATAATTTTTTTCACGAATAAGCATGGAGCTCAGTTAGTATCAGTACTTCATATTTTTCTGCTAATCAATTTATGCAGCTCATGATTGTAACTGGTTCATCAATATCGTTTTTGGTGGGAACAGTTGTTACATGGAGATCTTTAGCTTTAATCGGTATGTAAAACAGTAAAAGTACTAAAAAAAGTGTAACCACGAATCCAAAAACTTACGGGTGGTTGAATATATGATTTGCAGGAATCGTTCCCCCTGTTCTTCTGGTGATTGGCCTAATGTTTATCCCAGAATCCCCAAGATGGCTCGTACGTTCTTACAACTTGGAAAAATTAGGGTTTTTTTTTTTTTTAATAGTAGTGTAGGAGATGATAATTATATAGTATTATTTTAGGCTAAAGTCGGACGTGAAGTAGAATTTCAATCTTCTTTACGCCAACTCCGTGGTGCAAAAGCAAACATTTCTGCTGAAGCGGAAGAGATACATGTATGATTGTAGTTTTCTGCTACATTTTGTTCAAAGCAAAACTGATATATAATTAACTCTGGTCTTACCAAAAAGACGAATTCTTTCTTTGTTTCATTGGTTTTTGTTTTATATAGGAAACTATAATTAATCTTCAAAAACTTCCTCAAGCTGGAGTACTGGATTTGTTTGATGCCAGATACATAAAACCGGTTATTGTAAGCAAAGGACATTTTTCTTTTTTCTTTAATTACTTGATGAATTGTAAATTTTATTCAATTGGATTTTTTTTTTTGGTTTATGCATGTTTTAGATTGGTGTTGGATTAATGGTATGCCAACAATGGTGTGGAATAAATGGAATCGGATTCTATGCAAGTGAAATCTTTAAAACTGCTGGTAATTAACCCAAATTACTACTTAATTTGGAACTTATGATCATTAACTGCTTAGTTTAATGATTTTGTGATCACTTTTTATCCACAGGATTTGCCTCAGGGAAATCTGGAACCATTGCTTATGCCTTGATTCAGGTAAGATATACACCAGTGTTTCTTTTTAACTTAATGCAGAAAGAACGAGACTTAATAGAGATTAGAGAATAAGTAGTCTTTCCCATTAAGCCCTAATTTTTTCTTGGTTTTATATCTTTTATATCGTGTTAATATATTATTAATTGTTAAATCCAGATTCCTATCACAATTGTTGGCATGATCTTGCTGGACATATCAGGAAGAAGGATTCTCCTTCTGGTAAGTACAGAGCAGATAACCCTTTACAGATTACCTTTCAACTAATTAAAATTTGTACCCGTTTGACTCTCAAAAGTCAACTTTTAAGTCGTTTTTGTGATGCATTTGGTTATAAATATTGCAAAACGTAACATTTTTTTTTCTATCAGGTTTCTTCATGCGGGACATGTCTAGGCGTTTTTCTTACGGGAACTGCATTTTACTTCATGGTTCATGCTCGTTGCTTAAATGGGTTATATATTTGCAAGAAATAGCAACATACTTTTATTTATATGTTTGTTATATATAGCATCCTAATTCCTACATTCATTTCTTCCTATTACAACATTGTAATAGAAAGAAATGAAAGTAAGATGCTATATATCATAAACAAATAAATTAAAGTATATTGTTATTTCTTGGTATGCTAAAAAAATCAGAGTGTTTGATTAATCCAGGGCCAAGCCATGTTCGATGGATGGGCTCCCCTTCTGGCTGCCTCTGGTGTTCTGGTATTCATAGCATCCTTTTCAATAGGAATGGGAGCAGTACCTTGGCTGATCATGTCCGAGGTAACCTTTCAAAATTTAGTTACTTAAGTAATAGCAACATATATATACTTTTGTTTATTTATTTGTTTATGATATTATATTATAGCATCCATCCTAGTTTCATTTAACAAACGGGTGCATGCCTTTTGTATTTTGGTTTCAAATTTTAGATATTCCCCTTGCACATAAAAGGCGCAGCAGGGAGTCTTGTTGTGCTAGTGAATTGGTTGGGTGCGTGGGTGGTTTCTTACAGTTTCAACTTCCTCATCAACTGGAGTCCTGAGGGTACGCACTACTTATATACATATATTCACAATCAATCCTGCAGATTAATTTAGTGTAATAGTTAGAATTTCAATTCATGGTCTAAAGAATTTTGTTGCATTTGTGTGTTGGTGTAGGTACCTTTTGGTTGTTTTCGGGATTTGGTATTATTACCATTGTGTTTGTAGTGAAAATGGTGCCAGAAACCAAAGGAAAAAGCTTGGAAGAAATTCAAGCAACTATCAACTCGTAATTCTTGTTATTTCCCGTTTAAAAGAAAAGGCATAATAGTCGGAGGCCGATATTCAAGAATGTAACATCTAATAGACGAATACGGGCTGCTTTAGTCAATTTTTGGTTTGGTATTTTTCATTATTCATTTTTATATGTTAATTAGTTATATATTTTTTGTATGTTTCTTTTGGTATGTTTTGTTGTAGTGATATTAGAGCATGATTGCTTATCGACTTGTACTGAAATTACCTATACTGGTTTTTTTTGGAGGAATGAAAATATTTTCCAATACATAATAGAAAACGGTGTTCCAATTTGGTACTCTTTTTTAGATTTGGTTGCCTGTTTCAAGGAAGTTTGGATTATGTGACACTAGGCATGTTTGCGCAAGAATAAGATTATGCAACTAAAATAATATGATTAAATGTTCAAATATGTAGGAATTAATGTTCACACAAATGGAGAACCTATAAATAACATATTCTACTATTAGTATAAGCATATAGACGGATACCTTACAACAAATACTTCTTTGTAAACAATGTGTACTTTCACCAAAACCTCATCTACCATATCTTAATTAATCTTCATTTAGAATTACAACATCGTCTTTTTCTTATTACATACAAGTATGATATTTAGAATGACCACATCATTTTTTTTCTTATTATGTATAAGCACTATTTATTAAAGTGTCATGATATAGTAAAGTACGACAGACCAAAAAAATGGATGCTTCGAAGAATATATATATATATATATATATATATATATATATATATATATATATATATATATTGGTGGCGAGTATCATCATTTAAAGAGAAATCAAGGTGTTAATAGAGTTCTATCTCAGAATAAAAGTTATTAAGGTATTTAGAAAATTATGAAAAATAGTCTAAGATTGTGTATTGTAGTATAAAACAAAAATACATAATGATCCTAAATCAACAAACTGTAACAAGCTAATTGAAATTGCATCATCTTTTTCTTTTGACTCCAGATATATAGCCATAAACTTTTTTTTATTGAAATGTGAAGAAAGTATAAGGAAAAGAGAGGTGTAAAGACTAAAGAAAATGATGATATTATTATCTAGATATTAGTGATGAAAGGTTAGACACAAAAAAACCACACTTAAATATATAATATACGTTAAGTCACTTTTAATGACATAGTAATTATGTCTGTGTGTACCTTCTTTTCCATTGTCATGCACTCCTTGATACACTACTACACAATGGAACTTCACCCACGAAAATTACCCACGGACAAAATCCTTGGGTAATTACCCACACATTTGCCACAGATTTTTCACGACTTAAAAAAACCCTAATTTACAAAGTATTTCTCACGGATTACACACAGATTACCCACAGAAAGAAATCTGTGGAAAATCCGTGGGAACAATATCGCCATCACCCACGGCTTACCCATAGATTTTGAAAAATGAAGAAACACTTCTGGCCTGTGGGTAAAGCGTGAGTGATTTTCCACAGATTACCCACATAAAAACATTGTTTTTTTTCATTTTCATTCCTTAAACGTTGTTTTTTAGTTCCATATTTCTATCGTTTTACTAAATCAATGCATTTTTTTGTTTCATCAACTTATTATACTCATCCATGTACATATATATGTGAATAATAAGTTTAAAAATAAATGATATATTAGTTTATAAAGTATGTATGCATATATGTGTATAATAAGTTGATAAAAACAAAGAAATGCATTGATCTATTAAACATTATAAATGATAAAACAAAGACAATATCGTTAAATGGTCAAAAATGGAAAAATTATTTATTGTTGTGGGAAAGATGTGGGTAATTATCCATAGATTACCCACATACCATAATCGTTTTTTTTTTTATTTTTCGACCCTCAAACGTTGTATTTTTCATTCCATGCTTAACATAACTTAATAAATCATTGTATTTCTTTGTTTTTTCAACTTATTAGATACATATCATACACATGAATGTATGAGTTTACTAAGTTGATGAAAAAATGGAGTATACTGAAATATTAAGTATGTACGCATGTATAAAAGTATTTATGTATGTTTAAGTTTATTTGTGAAATAAGTTGAACAAACAAGTCAATACATCAATTGATTATGTTTTGTAAAAGATTGGACGAATATAACAACATTTAATGGTCAAAAATTGAAAAAAAGATTCTGGTCCGTGGATAATCCGTGGGTGATTTGTCACGGATTACCCACAAAACAAAATCGTTTTTCCATTTTCGATCCTTCAACGTTGTTTTTTCGTTTCATATTTATATCAATTTACAAAATCAATGCATTTATTTGTTTCATCAACTTCTTATACCCATACCCGTACATATGTATGTGAATAATAAGTTGATAAAACAAAAGATACATTTATGTATTAAGTATGTATGCATGTATGTTTGTAATATGGTGATAAAACAAAGAAATACATCGATTTATTATACATTATAAAGGATAAAAACAAATACAACAACGTTAAATGGTCAAAAATGGAAAAACTCTTCATTTTTGTGGGAAATCTGTGGGTGATTATCCACAGATTACCCACACACCAAAATCGTTTTTCATTTTTTGACCCTTAAACGTTTTTTTTCCGTTCCATGCTTAACATAACTTAATAAATCATTGTATTTCTTTGTTTTATCAATTTAGTAGATACGTATACATTCACATGCATGTATGAGTTTACTAAGTTGATGCATTAAAGGAGTATATGTAGCACTCGGTTCCTGGTATGTAATTTATTTTGTTGTATTTTGCATTTTGGCCTTGGACTCGGCAAGTTGAGGTCCAACTCGTCGAGTCGGAGCGTATTGGACACAGAAGTTTAATGACCTACTCGACGAGTCCGCGTCCGGACTTGGCGAGTAGGCGCTGTCCGGACAAAAACCCTAGATGAGGGTTTGCACCCTATTTAAACCACTTATTCAGCCTCCCTTTCGTCCCCAATGCTTCCAGAACTCCCCATAAGCAAACCCTAGCTGTTTTTTAGAAGAGCTAAAGCATTTTTGGTGGATCTTGCTAGTTGTGACCATAAGGAGGAAGGGAAAGGCTTGAGGAAACAAGTGAAGACCAGGGGAAACTGTCACAACCAGGAATTCTGTTACCTTGTAAAACACTTAACAAAGAATGACATTGTGGCTAAAACTAGAAAACATGTATGGTGTTTATTCAATGACAACAAAAATTCCATCAAATACCCTATACAAACTTTCAAATAGTCAACAAAAGTTGGAAACCCTAAAAATCCCGGTTCAAGTCCATTTTGGACTAGGATTTTCTTATTGGGCCTAATGGACCAATAAGCTTCCAATTTGACTATTTTGGGCTTAGAACTCTTAAATGGGCTCTAATTGGACCCACTTTCATTGATTTTAACATTTTGGGCCATAAGGGGCCTAGAATGAAATAAAATACTCTTATTGGGCCATAACAAATTTAATTAGCCCTTTTGGGCCATAAAACTCGTACTTTGATTGTTTTGGGCCGTGAACCATCTCTAAAGACCTATTGGGCCGAAAAATCATCAAAATGGGCCATAATATGGATTTAAGCACAAAAAGGCCCCAAATTCTTTTTTTCTTCTTCCTCTCTCGGCCCAACTACAAAAAATGGGGGGGGGGGAAGAGTTGACTTTTATATGCCACCTCATATTTGTCCATTGGAAACCCATGCACAAATCCCATACTTCCATGCATGTCAACTCAATTCACACTCTCTTCTCTCCCCTCCTCTTAATTGGCCGAAACACACACATACCCCATCACCATTTCAAAGTTTCTTCAAAACTCACTCTAGAACTCCTTCACTTTTCCTCCAAAATTTCGAGATTCACAAGGGGCTACAAGAAGATATTTTCTTAATATCACTAATCCTTGGTAAGTTGTTGTTTGATCCATACTTTAACTTCTTGATTACCTCAAAAATCTCCCTTAACTCATACAAAATTCGTGATCTTGCTTCTTAGAACACATCTAAGCCAAAGATCTTCCAAGAAGCTTGCTAGGCCGAAAAATCTCACCAATTTCTTTCATTTCTTCTTCAAAACCGAGATCCACAAGAAAAGGTGAGTTCATACCCCTCTATTTTCGGTTTTCACAAGTTTTATGGGGGAGAATACAAGTAAAATGTGTAGATCTATGTGTATGTGTATGTTATGTATGATTTCATGTATGTATGTGTGATTTTATGTGTTTATGTGGTAAATATGTAACAAAAAGGGAAGAAATCTCGAGATCTATGACACAAAAGAGGAAACAAACATGATCTAATATGCTTTTATTGAACAAGTCAAGAAAAGTTGCTAGCTTAAGTCATAATAAACAAAATGCAACATAAAACTCATTTTTGGGCTAAATTTGTCAAACAATTAAAAGTTGAGTTGAGAGTTGTCATCCACGGTTTTCTTAAGGACTAAAAGAGTCAAAACAGTAAAAATAAATGTTTTTATGAATATCATACTCTTTAAAGGGCTAGAAATGTAATTTGTAGCTTAATGGGCCAATTTTTGGGTTTTTCGGCCCATTGAGCCCAAAATTGCGAAAAACATAATTTTCAAGGGATTGAAATGATAAACTCCTCAAAACAGGGGATAAAAAGGGTAAACAAAACCAATTCAGGGGTTAAAATGATTTATTTTCCAAACAATGATCAAAAATGTAAACTTTTTGGATTTTGGGCCAAAATTGTAAAAGTTGAGAAAAGTTTGGGTTTTAACTGAAAAAATCCTTACTGGAAGGGCTGAAACTGCCAAAGAGTAAATTTGGAACAAAAATCATCATTTAAACAAGTCTATGGGTCAAAAATGTCAAGAAAATGGTTTAAGGGCCTAAAATGTTTCTTTTTCAAAATAAGGGACTAAAATTGTTATTTTTATTAAAGAAGGGCTGAAAAGGTCAAACCAACATTTTGAACCAATTATTTCGTTTTTAAGATATTTGAGTAAAAAAATACCAAACTACAACTCTTGAAAATAGAAAGATGAATATACGTATAATTCCAAATATCGTTATAAACAACCGACCGGCCTCGTGCCGATACGAAAACAACAATCGTTAAATCAAACTTTCCAACGATTATACTATACCTA